AAGGGAGAGTGGAGCCTTTTATAGGTTTTAGACAAAGGGGGGGAAACTGAAGATACATTTTGGTTGCTTTAAGGAACCCGCGCTTGCCAACATAATTTTAAACTGATTGGATGTATAAGATGCAGCCCTGGAAGTTTCTTATTGGTAGGTGCTATTCTCAGGGCTGTGGAATGTGCTGTTACCTGTGGGGCCAGGAGTCTCCGTTTTTACCTTATAGGGCAGTTTTTATTCTCGGGCTTGCTTAATCTATAGTTTCCTGAAAGGGGGGTGGGGAATAGCAGGCGGGGGTCAGGGCACGCCAGGGTATGTCTAGGCATGTCTAAAGCAGCAGCCAAGCATTTTACAGAAGCTAAAAGAGCAATTAGTGGGGGTCTGGAGGGATTGGGGGGTAGCGGGTGAATGAAGAGGGTCTCAGGGTTCTACAATATAAAGAGTTTGGAATTTCTCCCTCTTTTTCTTTGTGAATAATTTAAGCAGTATTGGTTGTAGATTTTCTTTGAATGTCTGTTAGAATTCTGCTATGGATCCATCTGGGCCTGGGCCTTTTTTTGTCAAGAGGATTTGTACTGTTTCAATTTCCTTATTTGTTATGGATCACATTAGGTTGTTGATCTCCTCCTGGCTTAACTTTAATAGTGGACATGATTTTAGAAATTCTTCTATTTCTTTTAGGTTTTCAAATTTAATGGAGTATAGATTGTTAAAGTAGTCTCTTACAATGTTTTGGATTTTGCGGGGGGGGCAGTCTGTTGTGATGTTTCCCCTTTCATCTCTATTTTTTAATTTGGATTTGCTCTTTCTTTTTTTCTTTTGGTTAACTGGGCTAAGGGTCTGTTTATCTTGTTAAACCTTCCAAAGAACCAACTCTTCGAGTCATTGATTTTTTTGTGCTGTTTTCTTTGTTTCTACTTCATTAACTTCTGCTCTGAGGTTTGCTCTTTCTTCTCATCTACTAGCTTTGAGGTTGGTTTGTCCTTGCCTTTCCATAGTCTTGAGTTGTACTATCAAGTTGTTTACTTGTGCTCATTCTGATTTTTAATGTACTCATTTAGAGCTATAAATTTCCTTCTTAGGACTGCTATTAGGGTGTCCCAGAGATTGTTTTGTGTTGTGTTCTTGTTTTCTTTTTGTTCCAGGAATACTTTTATTTCTTTGTTAATTTCTTCTTTGACCCATTCATCATTCAGGAGTCTGTTGTTTAATGTCCATGAGTTCGAGTATTTACTAGGGCTTCTTTTGCTGTGGATTATAAGCTTTAATGCCCTGTGGTGTGATAGAAGGTATGGAATTATTTCAAATTTTTTGTACTTGTAAATGTTGTTTTGTGCCCCAGAACATGGTCAATTTTAGAATAACTTGCATTAGCTGCTGAATAGAAAATGTATTCTTTTGTGGTTGGGTGGAATACTATATATATATATATATATATGGTTAGGTTCATTTCATGTAGTATGTCATTTAATTCAGATGTCTCTGTTTGTTCTTTCTCCAGTTGACCTGAATATTGAAGAAAGTAGGATATTAAAGTCGTTCACTATCACTGAGTAGATGTCAATCTCTGTTTTCTGGTCATGGACTACTGATTTTATGAAATTGGGTGCTCCAGAGTTTGGTGTATAAGTATTCATGATTGTAATATCTTCTTGGTCAATTGTTCTTTTGATTAGAATGAATTAATTCTCCTTATCTCTTCTGATGAGTTTTAATCTGAAGCCTATTATGTCAGGTATTAAAATTGTGATACCTATTGTGTCTTAGGGAAATTTACTTGTAATATTGGGATACTTTTCCCATCCTTTCACCCTAACATAGTGTTTATACTTGAAGATGGGTTGATTTTCATGAGGACAACAAAAAGTTGGGTTTTGTTTTCTTTCTTGATCCATTGCACTAGCCTGTGTCTTTTGACAGGGGAGTTGAGGTCATCAACATTTAGTGGTATTATTAAAAGGTATGTATTTTATATTGTCATTTTAATATCTTTGTGTTTATGGCCCTATTTTGTGTTTTTCTTATTATTCCCTCTTGGGCATACTCATTCCCTTTTTTGGTCCTTTGTATTGCTTCAAGTATTCTCTGTAGTGCTGGTTTGGAAAACATTAATTCTTGTGTCATGGAAAACTTCTCCTTTGATCTTGATAGACAGTTTTGCTGGTTAAAGTATTCAGGTTTGGCTTCCGTGGTTGTTTAGAACTGGGAATACTTTGTTCCATGCTCTTCTAGCGTTCATAGTTTGCATTGAATGGCCAGCTGTAATTCTGATAGGTTTTCCTTTATATGTAGCTTGTTGATTTTCTCTAGCAGCTTTCAATACCCTCTCTTTGTTCTACACATTTGTTTTTACTATGATATATTCTGAGAACATTCTGTTCTAATCATGTCTTAAAGGTGTTCTCTGTGCTTCTTGAATCTCTATAGGCATATCTTTCCTTAGTTTAGGGAAGTTTCTCCTGTAATCCTATTGAATATCTGTTTGATGCCATTGGTTTGAGTTTCTGCTCCTTCCTATATGCCTATAATACTTAGATTGGGTAGTTTCATGTTGTCTCACATTTCCTGAGTATTCCATTCCTATGATTTATTGAATTTTGCATAGTCTGTGCTTAAGGAGTTCAGATCTCCAACTTTATCCTCCAGTCTTGATATTGTTTTCCATTTCATTCATTCTGCTTGTGAGGCTTTCCCCTTTGTTTCTAATTGGTTTATGAGTTTTTCAGTCCCATGTTCATTTCCATTTTGGTGTTCTTCACTATTTCTATCCCTTTAGTGAATTTGCTTTTCAAGTTATGTATTGATTTTTATATTTCATTAAGCTGCATATTTGTATATTCTTGGTTCCATCAAAAGTTTATGCCTTTCCTCTTTGAGTTCTTTGTTTGTCTTTGTTTTCTTAAAGTTCTTTGATTATGTTTGATTGTTCTTTTAAATTCTGTGTCCTGGGATTCTACATGGTGGTTCTCAATGCTGTGCACTTCTGTAGGACACGTGGGTTTGCTGGAGATATATTTTCCTGTTTTTTCATATTGTTTGTGTTTTCATTTTTCCATTTGGGCATATGCATATTCTTTGTCAAGTGTTCAACAGGAACTTCTACTATGTTTTTGTTTAATTTAATTTTGTTTCTGTTATATTTTTTATGTAGCTTAGTTACTTTTTGTTTAGGTATGCAAGACAAACCGGTGGGTGTTTCAAATTCTTGCTGAGTTGTAGACTGGTCAGAGTCCTGACTGAGCAGGTCTGTTTGCCTAATCAGGATGCTGGGAAGTTGGCACTGAGAGGACAGCATGGCAATAAAGCCAGGGAAAAAGGCTGGTCTCAGATGTCCAATGGTAAATTGGGGTTGGGGGCTGGCTGTGAGGTCTCTAGGGAAGTAGACTGAAGAACTGGGTTGGTCTGGTTGCAAAGGATCAGGAAGCTGTGGTAGAATCTGGGTCATGAGGGTAATCCAGAGGTCTGGGATGCCAAGAGAAGTGGGCCTGCGCCCAGGGTTAGAAGGAGATCAACAGCTTTTGATTTTCCCCAAGATAAAAGTGTCACTATTGCACCATAGAATAATTTGCTGGGCCAGTCATTATTTTGATTCATAGGCTCTACAGCTTGGTAGAACCATGGATTTATTTTTCTGGATAGCTTATACCCATAATATAACATCAGAGAAAAAAACTTATTACATTTTCCCATTATCTGAAATTATTTCAAATTTGGAAAATACTGTTTCAATAAGATTATTAGAACTGGAAGTCTTTTATTTCTTATCAAAATCTTCACAGATATATAATAATGAAATATTAATAGGGATAATGTATTCAATAAATGTAGAAAGAGATACATAGTACTTCATAATAAAATATAATGAAGATTATATTTATAACATAAGGAAAGTA